ACAAAGTTTGTTTTCTCAGTCATCCAGGTATATAACAACAAAAAAGGGGCGAAATGTTTCTTTTTAACAAAAAAACGAAGTCCAGATGACATGATTCAACCTTTTTTGTTGTTACTGGCACTATCGTTTTTAAGTCGTATCTTCGTTTTAATCTTTTTTTTTCTGCATATTTTCAGGTTTCCACTTGATTCCTCGCCTGTCGGGTATCGTTCCAGAGAGCTGCCTGTTGATTGTCGTTGGCCTGCTAGTGGGGGGGCTCATCAAACTGGCTGGAGAGAAGGTCCCCCCAGTGTTGGACTCCGAATTATTCTTTCTCTGCTTGTTACCTCCCATCATCCTGGATGCTGGCTACTTCCTCCCCATCCGCCCGTTCATGGAAAATCTTGGCACGATCCTGATGTTTGCTGTCGTGGGGACTCTTTGGAACGCCTTCTTCATCGGAGGCCTGCTGTTTGCCGTTTGTCAGATCCCACAAGCTGGGCTCGACACCGTTGGGCTCCTGCCCTGTCTGCTGTTTGGCTCCATCATCTCCGCCGTGGATCCAGTCGCTGTACTCGCTGTTTTTGAAGAGATTCATATAAATGAGCTGTTGCACATCCTGGTGTTTGGTGAATCACTGCTCAATGATGCTGTGACTGTGGTAAGTACTCAATGCATGACACGATGTCATACATTTACACAAAGGTTCTTTTTGTTTTATTGGTTTTCCCATGAGGAAAAGTCAAAATAAGATGACTTTCAATGGAACAATCGCTGATTAAAAAAACAAACAAACAAACACCAATTTTGTTTTTGATGAATTCACCTTTTATCTAGAACACTTTAAAGTGACACATTCTATTTGACAAAGGTTTTGTTTTTTCCACTAAGTGGTAGAATAAAACTTAAATATTTAATTTACTGTCCAGCCTGTCACCATTCATAAATGTTCAAATAACATTTGTTACCTGCTCTGTGTCAATCCAGCACCATCGACAGTATAAAGTTACCAACCAGTACCTGAGTCATAGCTATTATTGGCACAAACTGCATTATTAGCGACTTGTGTTTTTAACGTCATCCATCGTCTCGCATGCTTTCCAAATGTTGTCCCCCATGCACCTTGCACTCTCATTCCACCGGAGCCGTTTGCCTCAGGGTCATATGTTTAGCTCTAAGATTAGCACCATTGTGCATTTATCAAACTTGAGCGTTACAGCGACAGCGTTGCACAGACAGTTTTGACTAGTCTTTGGTGCACGTCCAGAAAAGTGTGACGGTTCTTAAATTAACCTGACAGTCATCACTGGATGTATGTGCCATTGTGAAACACAGAGCTAGTAGTTTGTTCAAACAAATGTATGTTTTTTTAATTAATTCACACAGATGAACAATGTTTACAGGAAACGTACAAGCCAAGGTGCCATAAGTTGTTTCAAGTGCAAAAAAAATAAATCTGACATGCTGTCTGTGTGTCATGTGTTGCATGACCTTGTGCTGTTAAATTGTAAACCAACACCTAAGCAGTATTGCAACACTCTAATATACAGTAATATAGCCAAACTGTATATAGTATAAAAGTTTTATTTTTTTCATAAACACCATGTCATAAATCTCCATTACTTACTAACTCCTTCATTATTTTCCTCCCTGCTTGTAGGTTTTGTACCACCTTTTTGAAGAGTTTGCAAGTGTCGGCACAGTGACGGTGTTGGACGGCTTCCTGGGAGTCATCTCCTTCCTCGTTGTAGCGCTGGGTGGCGTTCTGATCGGAGCCATCTATGGGTTTCTTGCAGCCTTCACCTCGCGCTTCACCTCCCATACCCGCGTCATCGAGCCACTTTTTGTCTTTGTGTACAGCTACATGGCCTACCTGTCAGCTGAGGTGTTCCACCTGTCTGGCATCATGGCGTAAGTTTTCATTTAGAGTCAGAGAGACAAACTGGGAGAGAAGACGAGAACTAGTGAAGCTGCGTTTTCTGTAAAATTGCAGAGCGAATACACACAGGCTGAAATTAGCAAAAGCCAAGCTATAACACTCAAGCTAAAAACTAAATGTAACAGGAGAGTAATCTAAAGTACCAGGAGAGTAGTTAAAAGTAGCAGAACTGTAGCTAAAAGTAGCAGAACTGTAGCTAAAAGTAGCAGAACTGTAGCTAAAAGTAGCAGAACTGTAGCTAAAATTAGCAGAACTGTAGCTAAAATTAGCAGAACTGTAGCTAAAAATATCAAAACTGTAGCTAAAAGTTGAACAGTAAATAAAAGTAGCAGAACCATAGTTAAAAGTAACAGAACATTAGATAAGTACTTGGAACAATGGCTAAATGTAGTAAAAATAGTTGCTAAAGTTAAAATTAACTTATTCATTTTTTTAAAGTTGGCATTAAAAAATGCTAACGTTTAAATTAGCAAAACAAAGGCGAAATTTAGCAAAACTAGCTAAAATAAACAAAACCAATGCTAAAGCTAAATTTGGCAAAATAAGTGATAATGCTGAACTTGCCAAAACAGTAGCTAAAATTAAAATAGCAAATCAGTAGCTGAAACTAATTTTTTAGTTTAAAATTGGCAAAATGGTAGCTAAAAGTAGCACAATCTTAGCTAAAAAGGCAGAAATAATGTGAACGTTTTCAGAAACTAAGTTTAGTAGATATAAATGTTTTATTTCTGTGGAATCTTTATAAAAGTAGGTAACTCTTTCATTGTGCAGAACATTTTTTCTAAAGGAATCCAAACAGAGGAAAACCAAAAGCTTCTCTAAAATACTGTTTACATTTTTCAGTCCTTTGACTTACCTGTTTGGCTGCAATCCACTCTTTACACCCTCATGTTTTCGACAAATACGTTTCTGCACACCGATGACACATCCCGGTCTATGCAGCTCTGCAGCTGCAGCAGAACTTTATTTCATTCATGCATTGCAGCAAATTGCACACCTTTCTTAACCCAGTGAGATATTAAACTGGTGCCTGAATCATGTCTGGATTTATGATCATCTCGGCGTTTCCTGAAGTGGCATTTCATCCGCTCCTCTAGAACATCATCTATTACCTGGGATGATGCTGACAGGAGGCACTGATGTGTTTTCAGCTTCAAGGAGAATCTTTTTTGTATTCGTTGGTGCGCCTTGAAGCAGTCTCACTGCACCTGACGTCAAAATCTGATTCAACTTTTCTATCATTTTTTTGAAGGAGACTTCCTGCTGTGATTGTTTTTTTAAAATAACTTCTCTAATGCTTTGAAAGCCAAACCAATATACCAATAAAACTAATTTATTCACAAGTGGCAGGAAATGTTGAAACAGCTGCTGCGACTCATGAAGTGTATATACGCTACAAAGACAGATTTACTTGCACATTTTCAACACAGAATTGTTGCATGACTCTCGTGGGTTGCCAGACGTGAATCAATTGCAGCTCAGAAACTGAAGTACTTCCCGTGATCAGTCATCTGCTTCCTTTAAACTACAATAATCACATGTTGCACAGTAAGCTGATTTCGAGAACACAATGTCCAGAAACAAATAAAATACGTTTGCTAACAAGCATCAACACATTTTTATTCCTTAAAACAGCTAAACCTTTTCCTTTTCTCTGCTCAGTTTAATAGCTTGTGGAGCGGTGATGCGACCCTACGTGGAGGCTAACATATCCCACAAATCCCACACCACCATCAAGTACTTCCTGAAGATGTGGAGCAGCGTTAGTGAGACGTTAATCTTCATCTTCCTCGGTGTGGCCACAGTGGATGGAAACCACAACTGGCACTGGATCTTTGTCATGTCGACGGTCATTTTGTGTCTGGTTGCTCGAGTCATAGGTCAGCTCAAAGTGTTTATTCATATCGGATGATGTTCTAATAGTTTTGACATTCATTGACCAAGCCATTAGCCTGTTCTGAATGAAGACTTTTGCCTCCAGTTGTTAAACTAATGGAGTAGTTTTGTTAAAAAGAGAAATTGATAGTGAAAGATTCACAAAAAGCTTTTCATGCGGTTGAGAATTTCTCAGGATTAAAGATCATGGGATGAAAAACACCTCAAGTTGATCTTGAGTTAAATATCAAGTCTTTTTTTAGCTGTGTTGTAAACATGACTTTTTTCACTGTATAAGTTTTTTTTTTTTTTTTGGGTTCATAAAAATTGATGCTGCTTTTCACATCAATAGGGAAAAAATGGCCACATAAGAGAGAAACTGTTATCACAAGGACTTTTTATTGTTTTAGATGAAGGAAGAATTAAAAGCTGTGTTCATATTGTCAAAGTCGTTTGAGTCAGATACAAATTTTAACTGAATTCTGCTTTCTTTTAATTTTACAGGTGTTGTTAGTCTTACATTTGTGATTAACAAGTTCCGCATCGTAAAGCTGACAACCAAAGATCAGTTCATCATAGCCTACGGTGGCCTGCGAGGTGCCATCGCCTTTTCCCTCGGCTTCCTGTTGGATCCCAATCACTTTCCTAAGAGGGATATGTTCCTGACTGCCATCATCACGGTCATTTTCTTCACAGTCTTTGTTCAGGTACGAATACAAACCTGATTTTTATTTGTTTTTTAATAATAGGACCTCAGTCAGCTGTTCAAACTGAGCTTGAACTCCCTAACCTGCATCTGTCACGTTGGTTTGCAAAAGCGCTTTTGTTGCTGCAATTTGCATTAATGCATCTAGTTAGAATTTTTCCTGGCTCCACAGTTTAAGATGACTTTGGCAACTATTTGGCCATGCTGTTGCGTACATTTGTATGAGCAGAACATTTTGAAGCTGCCGGAGCCAGTTGAGGCTCTCATACTGTGATGGATGATGGGGACTGTGAAGTTGGAAGTATATTGGGTAAGGCTGGGAGTAATGGTTATTACATTTGGGTAAAAAGTGAACATAGCTGTAATATTTTTATAAAATATAGGTGAATAAAACGTGCTTACTTCTCGTGCTTTTTGATAAAAGCTATTTAACTTGGCAAATTGTGCTCTTGTGGTTAAACCAAGATGGTTGCTGTAACTGGTCGTGATTTTATGGACGCTGAGCAACTTTAAAACTTCATGTGTTTTGTTTTGTCTGCTAAAAGCACAACATAATTGAATCTAGGGTCACCTTGTATTCATATATTTTAGTGGATCTGGATACTATTAAATAGCAGAAATCTTGTCATCCACTTATTGCTCTTGCAGTTAGTCAGACGACGGGTTTAATCTCTTGAAGTATCAGAATGATGCACTCAAATCTTCAGGTGCAGACAGGATCAAGGGTACACAAACAGACAGAACCCTGTCCTAATGTCCGGGTTATGCAACATTGGCTCAGGTTCCTGTTTATGATCTGAAAGACTTTAAACTCATGCTAGAATTTATTTTTCTCAAGTTTTCTTGTTAACGTGATTTTAAAAGTTAAAGTGTAACATTGTTTGAGCAGCAGCTGAGAAAGAATATCTGTAACTCTTTACAGATTATCACTCCCTACTTAAAGAGAAAGATTATGCAGAAAAACTTGATAAACTTAACATTATTTTTACTTAATATAAAGGATGTATAAATAATATAAAGTTCTAGCTTTACGGAGCGCTTTTTTGTACGTTAGCAGGCTATCTCTCCAAGATACTGTACGTAAAATTCCTCAACAATAGTGGAGCACCATTTTCTTTCCAGCTTTCTAGACGTCTGAAGTGATGTAATGTGATGAAATGGTCAGCAGACAGTGCTGCTTCTTGTGTTTATAATTTACTCTGACACAGAAAAATCACAAAACGTTGCAGATGAAGTTATCACAGTTTTAAAACACTTGAGACACGCTGGTGGTAATAACCCATTTCTAGCTTGGAGAAAGATTAGGGTGTATTTTAAACTGAGCATTCCTTTGCTCATCTTATCCTCCTTGCAGGGCATGACCATCAAACCCCTGGTGGAGCTGCTGGCAGTGAAGAAGAAACAAGAGGCCAAGCGCTCGATCAACGAGGAGATCCACACTCAGGTACGACCAATCAAAAGCCAGTCTTTTTCCTATTAATAACCGATTTTCAGATTAAAGCACACAGGAGTCAATTAGAGCGTTCCTCTTGGTTGTTGTTGTGGAAAATGTGGCTGGTGTTTTCCACTTAAAGCTTCTGAGAGCAATTAGATAATCAAATTTTGATCTTTGCCCCCATCTACTGACCGTTTGATGGTACCTCACATCTGTGCACTAAAGTCCGACTTTTCTCTCCAAGTACATTTTGTTTTTACGTTCTCTTACACTTGTTATTTGCATCTGGTTGGATGTAACTATTTTAGATTATCACGACAAGTCTACACTGCTTGGATATTTAAGTATTAACATTGCTCAACCGCTCTTGACACACACACACACACACACACACATCCCTCTCCAGGGCTTAGCGATGAGTCACCAGCACTCGAGACAAGAGCAGCAGACAGCCCCCATGGCTCCTTCAATGTAAAATACCAGTGATTAGAGCGAGAAGAGTCACCCGAACCCTTCAGTGTACGGAAGAATCTAAAGAAAGACACACAGGCTTTTGACAGACTGTGTGTTCATTTTCTGATTTACCTTTCAAACACCAAGTGTGGAATTACTGTTCACCAGTGCTAAACATGATGTGGATTGTTTCAAATATATTCTAAGGCAGAGCTATTCAACAACACTGCTCAGTTTCTGAAAGCCAGCCGTTCAGGGGCCGGACATCCAGCGATTAAAGTCATTATGTAAATAAAACTAGCTTTACAATGAGCTGTTGCCTTTTAAATTTGTTTATTTTATTGCATTGAATCATAAATGCAATAAACGGACCCCCCCCTTTTTTTTAATTTAATTAAATGAAGTGGGCTGGATTGAAGTCACCTGTGGGTTAAATATCCCTGTCTATGGGTTTAGATGGGAGTAATGTGACAGTTTGACTCAGATGTGCTTCTCACAAACAGCTGTGGTATGGATTATGATGTTTTTGTATTGATGGATTGTTTTGTATTGTCTGTAAAATTAGTTTATTATAATAATAATAATAATAAAAATACAGATTTTCAGAAGTCATACATAATAACTTTGCACAAACTAAAACTAAGTGACCAAAATCACATCTGTACAGTTTCCATCCCAGTCTCTTCTGACAACATTTACACCTGTGTCTGTGCTCAGATGTCAGATAGACAAACAGAATATATATATATATATATATATATATATATATATATATATATATATA